TTTTCCAATCTTAATTGGCTTTTGTAATTTATAAAAAGACCCCGCGTACAGCGGCATTCCGCCTCGCCGGCTTGGGGATTAGAACGAAAAATAAGGGGACCATAAATTCTAGAAGAACGGGGACAATGACCTGTCTTTTGTGACCCAAAATTTGACCAAAAATTCTTGGGGGGGGGGGGGGGATACTTCCAGCTTCCTGGAGCCCAGTGCGTGACCGGAGCACGTGACAAGCTGTTAAGGCACGTACGGACTACCAACCCCCCCCCAACCCCCCAAACCCCCACCGCCCCTGTGATATTTTAAATACATGTTTAGCATGGATTTTTCTTTTCAGCAACGCAGTGTTCAGCCTTGAATTAAATAATTTAACGCTACCATCACCCCAGGATGTAAGTAACTTTAACAAAAAAATGATATTTTTAGAATAGTCATGGAAACTGTGCATGTATATTGTATGGGCAAGTTTTTACTTCATACTGAGATGTTCATCTGCCATGCTTATTTAGCTTTTTTCTCCAAATCTTCCAAGAATGTCAAAATCATGATAATACAAGTATTTGCTGCCACTTAACAAAATGACTAGGAAAACTATGTAAACCTGTCCAAAAACTAATTGTCAAAAATGATAACAGGGAGAATGATGCAATGTAACTGCAATAATTAGAAGAAATGTCAACTTTTTGTGTTCTTTTACAAACAATTAACCGGTGAAGTAAGCACCTATAAAAGTTGGGAAACAGTGCATAGAATTCAAGCAATTCGGATTGGATTGGATGAATTATTTTACTCACATGTGAAAACATTGTTCCCTCCTCCGATTGGCTAGATCTTAGTCATTATAAAATTTGCATTTAAAAGTTTATGTTTTTGAGTGAGTATACTCTTGAGCAGTGTATATTTAATAAAATAATCCCAATTTTAAATATTATAAGCATTCTCTGTTGCACTAAAATGGGATTGAGGATAGATGCATTTCAGAAGTTAATTATTTCTGCTGCTGATTTCAGATCTCTGTAATTGCTGAAAGCCCACTGTACATTCCTTTGGCTTTTACTCTGATTTAAATGTCGCTCAAATGATGTTTTATAACTATAGTCAGTGGCAGCAAACATTTATGAGTTATATTTGAATATAAAAGCTGTTTACTTTTGGTTGAGAGCTGGTGGACAGTAAAAAACCTCACTAGTATAACTCCACTCAAGATAGCCCATGAATGTAGGAGAGATCTTAGGTTGAGTGGTGCTAAAAGCTTATACATTTTTTACCTTAAGACTTCGTTAATTTAAAGGTAAGTTTCTCAAGCAAAGAAGGGTCAGCTTTAGAGTTCAGCCTTTGTCAGATGTAAAAAATTGCTCATTCACTATCAGTGTAGCCTCCCCGCAGACGTCAAAATGAATGCGTGATGAATGAACCCCAAAGGACGTCTGCTGGGAGGCTAATATCAGTGACATCACTCTTTTTGCATTTAGCCATACTGTTTATAATAAGAAACATGTGACCAGGAATTTTCAGCCATGGAGTGAATTATGTGGTCTCTTTAAAATTTCATTTCAACAATATTTCTTGAGATTGAAAGTAAGAGGTTGATTCTCATGTAACACATTTCTTTGATCAGTACTTTTCTTAGCATCCTGTGTGGTGTTTGATAACCAGGGGACTGCTTGAGGAAGAAGATGATAAATAATAGTAAATGTTTACCATGTCATGAGCATGGACTAAATCCAAATGGATTCAAACCCAGGAATTGCCATCTAATTAATATTTGATTCCTTGGGTATCCTTGTTTAAGTACAGCCAGAAAAAAATGTGTCATTTATGAACATTTGACTAATGAAATGTATGGATTATTTAGTTTGTAGCTTTAAAACCAAGCCAGGAAGCACTGCAAACCTGTTTAAATGAAGGACTTTCCCAAGTAAGACCATATGCTAATAGGCCATTTCCTCTCACTTTCAAAATGAGGATAAGTGCAAAACCTTTCTTCTCAAATTGTTTTTGGAAGATTGTAATTAGTTTAGAGAAGTTCAGACCAGAGAGCATGTTTTTTGTTATATTATATTAATTTTGCAAGTTAGGTCATCCTCACAAACACAAAAAACAGCTTAATAATGTTTTGATATGTTTTAATTTAAAATATAATAAACCAAGCATAATATCCTATTTACCCTTTTTAAAAAGCCTCATCGTCATAAGAACACTTTATATAACAGAGTGGTCACAAGAATAAAGTACATGTTCATGAATTAAATCAGTACTACAACAACTCTTAACTGCATGCTCATGTAGGAAATGTATTGAGGCAACAAATTAAATGAGAATTTATACTTTGATAAAAGGGGGGAATTTCATATATCCTATTACGCATTGCTGCCTACTGTATTATCAAGCTTCCGAACGCACGTATATCCTATCAGTTCAACAGGTACGTGACAGTTGAACAATGGTGGAAAGTGGCTTGTTTTGCCATGGATTAACAAGCGATTTCCACGTACTTGTCTCGAAATAAATATATATTCTTGGTGTACAATTTCTCCTCGTTGCTTGTTTGTGGTCGGGGTGCTCATTAGCCTCCTCGCAGACGTCCTTCGGGGTTTAGACTGTTCACAGTCCTCTATTTTTCCGTAAGATTGTCGAGATCGAGCGCCAGTATTGTGTTACGGGCTGTCATCTTGCATGAGTGTCAAAACTACTTAGGGGGCGGGGGCGGTCACGCATTCATTTTTCCCCCACGGACGTCGCTTTTAAAACACAGCCAACATTTACGTTCTTTTCTGTTTGAATAAGCCAATAAGCGGTTAGTTATTGTGTCACGATCGTCAATAACGAGCATGGATGAGACTCCAAAGAAAGTTATAAGAAGCGCAGTTTTACCGGGGTCCAGCCGAAGGCTGGCACCGGTCTTAAAATGCAGACGGTTTCTGTTGTTTTTTCAACGTTACATTGTTAGGGATATATTGCTGACTGAGATATATCGCTGGCTCATTGAAATCTTATACGCCATTTTGAAAAGCACGAGGCATGGAGGATAATTAAGAGAAAGATTATAGCTTTTTGGGGAAGGACACGTTCCCCAACCTTTACGATGCACTAGTTTATGAGGAAAAATTTAAGAGTGAATATTTGGAGAGACGATCAATTAGAAGTGAACCTTCCATCGTGAAACTTATCAAGAATAAAAGCGACTTATCAAAGCTATCTACATTGAGTGAACCTTCCATCATGAAATTTATCGAGAATCAAAGCGAACACTTATCAAAGCTAACTTTATATCATCTTAAACAACGTGCTACAAGGCGATCTAGACGTGCTCGTGAACCGAGCAGAATTCCACTGCTATCTCTAAGAGGTCTCAACAAGAAGAATAGCACGTTGAAGAAATTTGTCTTTAAAAAGATTTCAACGATTGACATACCGAAGTCTTCAAAGCTCCATCGCTATATTAATAAGGTGAGAAAACTGAATGTCAGACAGTTCGCCTCCCAGACAATTCGCCCCCGACAACTAGCCCCCATTATACAGACAATTAGCCCCCACTATCTAGACGATTAGCCCCCAATGTGTAAACAAACTTCAATTACCCGATTTAAAATATCCTCGAATCGCTCGTTTAATAAATGAACTGTTTTCAGTTCCTTTCTAACTGGCTAGTTTGCGTTTAGAACTTTAAGAAAACTGTAATCCTAACAACAAACCCCTGAATAATTTCTACAAATCTTACTGTTTTCGTTTTATATGCCCTGCCTTTCTGTTTTGAAGGAAGTTCCAAAGCACGTGCTGAAGACCCATCACATGGTTGCTAAGCGTAGTTATGACGTTAGCAGCATATCTTTACAATCATGTTTATTGCTAAGCGAATTACAGCTGGGGACGTGTGGGTTGTCTGAGTGACTCCTGCCCCTTGAAAAACAAATTCTTAACTAAAGATAAAGCGAATTACAGACGGGGACGTGTGGGTTGTCCGAGTGACTCCTGCCCTTTGAAAAACAAATTCGTAACTAAAGCTAAAATGAATTACAGCCGGGGACGTGTGGGTTGTCCGAGTGACTCCCGCCCCTTGAAAAAACAAATACTTAACTTAAGCTAAAGCGAATTACAGGCGGGGACGTGTGGGTTGTCCGAGTGAATCCTGCCCCTTGAAAAACAAATTCTTATCTTAACTAAAGCTAAAGAGATTCGAAGTTTGCGATTGGAATATACTTAAACAAAGTCTAAAGTCAAACTTAAGCTAAATAAGAGTGCGATTCGAAACTACTTTAACGAAGTCTAATGTTAAACCTAAGCTAAATTAGGTTGTGGTTTGAACAAATTCAAATTCTTATATTAACTAAAGCTAATTGAGATCGCGATTAGAATCTATCAGAAATCTACTGTAAAAAATTCTAATGTAAAACTTGAAAAACAAATTCTTATATTAACTTAAGTCAAATAAGTTCGCGATCAGAATATACTTAAACAAAGTCTAATGTCAAACTTAAGCTAAATAAGTTTGCAATTTGAACCCTTGAAAAACAAATTCTTATAATCTTAAACTTACGGATACGACTTACAACGGATTAACTAAATGAGAGCATGCCTCCAGCATGAGTTTTTCTGACAGTCTTTATAGGCTGAAGAGTGTCTTCTGATACTTTTGATAAGTCTTACACTGATGTCCTCGCAGTCTTCTGTCGGACACGAGTCTGAAGGGAGACAAGTGCTGCTTCCTTGTGGAGGAGCTGAATCAGTATGTAGAGGGGCAACTGAGCTCTTCCCTTTCCTCGTCTGTTGAGGGCGTTGTGCCACCCCTCCAGGTCATTGTTTGTTCTGACGGCTTCCATATACACGCTCCAAGTTGCTGGTGGGAAGGTACGGCTGATGTACCAGGTTTTTGACTTGGTTAACACCTCTATTTGTCTGTCTGATGCAAAGACCAAATGACGGCGTCCACGGATCTGAAACACAAAAAATCGTTTGTTAGCCCCTTACTTTAATTAACTAAGCACACACTGGTGAGTCTTATTTACAAATTTTATAACATATTTTCTGAAGTTCCTAATTACGGATAGCTTCTCTCTGATACTTGTTTAACTCTGTATAATTACAAATTTCTCGCACATCCGATCAAAAGCCTCAGTGATCATGCGAATCTTTTAAGAAGTGGCTCAGGTTACGTTTTACAAAAATCTGTAAAGGGCCTGTGATTGTTGAACGCAAATGTCGCCTGTGTTTAGCAGATGTCCGTGGGGGAGAAATGAATGCGTGATGTACGAACCCTGAAGGACGTCTGCAGGGAGGCTAGGTGCTCATATTGTTAGTTCAATAATTCATCCATGCCGCACACCAACCGTATGGTGACTGCACATGCTTTTACTTCACTGCATGACTTCAACAAGCTCTCAAAGTGATGTCTATCGGAGATAAAATTCAAAGGAGTGGAACAGCTCAAATATAAACAATAAAAATAACAAAGACAGCGCTATATTTTTCATAACACAACACCAGTTAAGCATCTTTGTTAAACATAAACAGAAAGAAGCTTTATTAATTACAAAATGGAAAAATACCCATACAGTAACACCCACTCCTTCACTACAATGGATCCTAAAAGAAGTATCAAATGTCTTCAAAGGTCTTATACGCAGGTTGAGGTCCTAGAGTATGCCATTTGATGATGTTTGCTGGCCTGTATATTTCAAGTGCGCCACGCGCAGTTGCGACCAGAAGCCACCATGAGAATACCATTTTTACCTAAAATAATGAAACAAAAAAGCTTTAATACTGTAATCTATTGAATTTAAACATTCATTATACCCTCAAGAGTTGATCAGTGAAAAAAGAGCAAACGCAAGAAAAAATGTCCCATCTTCTCAGGACCTATAAATTGAAACCTTCCACTTGCATCTTAGTGGAGAAAGGGCAGAAAATGTGATATTTCAAAACGGTCAAACCCATAAAAATTGCGAGGTCGAAAGAGGTCAGAGCAGAGAACTAGTATCAAGCACCCCTTGTCCGCCAATATAAATAATTTGTCAGAGCGAAACCTTGCTAGAATAAAAACAGTATTCGATAATAAAATTAATGAAAGTCATCTAAATAAATATTCACTTGCGAGTTAAACAGCGAGGCTTATCAGGGTCATAAACGATAGCAATAATGCGTGAAATGACCATGGAAACATTTTACATGAACAATCAGATACCAAAGATTAACAGGGCTCATTGAAACTAACCTTGGATGAGCTGCATCTTGAAATTTAGGTCGTTGAAAATCTTGCTCGAAACCGTCCCATGCTCTTTCCAGCGTGAAGAGAAGACACAAATTAGCCGTGAAGCATCATGGGATATATGAATTTCCCCCCTTTACTTTGATATAATTAAGGTTACACGTTAGCGTACACATGTACAAGAACTATAGAAATGACCTTATGGACAGAAATACGGATAGACAGACACCCTGACAGAGACTCCGAGAAAGTGCTTTACTGCGGCTATAAGCGGGTAAGCACAAAAAATCAATTTCGTATCATTGGCTTTGCACTTAGCCTCACTTTGAAACAGACGCGTTGGGCAACTCGGAAATACTCTTCAGCTCATTAGAAAAGAATAATTATGACCTCCCTTCCCCCCTTCCCCCCAAAAGGGACGAATCGAAGCATCTCAGTGATTGCTTTCTCTGAGCTAATTAACTATTTTTTAATCTTAAAAAGCTCCATAATTAAAAGTAACTTATAACAGAGCTCTTGTCTGTGCGCCGCACGCAGTGGAGCACCATGGGTAAGAAAATTTAGTTATCTATGCATCCAGCGAATTTTAGTTCTGAGAAAATTGTCTCTACGTCCGTACATACGTCCACCCCTTCATGTAAGCTCGGGTAAAATTTTGCATTTCAAGTACCGCTCGTTTTGGCGATAAATTGCGTAGCCACCCGGGCCTTTAGAGGTAGAAAAGCAACAACAAAGCTGATTCTTTCTTTCAACTTAATTTTAATGTCTACATTGATGTAGATAACAAAGAAAGAGCTAGGGCAAAAGATAAAAAACAAAGGAGACCAATTTCGATTCGTTGGAAGAATGACGCGAAAATTTATAGCAGCGGTGAGAAAATGGGAAGTGCTAGCGGCCACTAAGGTGAAAGTGAGTGGCAGTGAAAAAAAGGGAAGAGGAACACATACAACATTCCCTCCATAAAACGTGAAAACTAGGAAGTTTCTGGAAGTTTTATGTTGTAATAGTGCAAAGCAACAGCAAAGAAATATACCAAAAAGTGTGCTGCATGTGCTAATTAGACCTACTGATTTTTTTTGGCTGTTTTCGTTGCCTTCGCGGCTTAGCATTACATGATTTTATATTTTGTTTGAGTGAACTATATATAGATATTAATGAGAGCTACACTTCTATACCTGGTTATCTACATATTAATATTATTGCAACTGTTTAGACTCTTTATTGTCTCAGACCTGAAACTGATACTATTTTACTAATGTACTTCCTTAGTGTTCTTGGTTCTAAAAAAAGTATTAATGTGAAACAGAAAAGGGGCGTGAGGTCAGCAATTAACAATTATTGGATGAGGTTGAGCAAAATATCGTGATTTGTCAGTGGTGAGCAGATCAATTATTGCAAATACTTGATCTATTATCACAATATTTTGCAATAACCGAGTTCAATTATCATTCAGTCAATGAGTTTTTTTTTAATGAGTATACCCTCCACAATGGCATACAGCCCATATGTACATGACATACGTACACAAGTTGGAAGGACTTGCTACAGATGCAAGTGGACCATTTTTACACAAAACTGATCGCAAGAAGGAGAAAAGCATGGTTTCATTTATGCATGAGCAGAGTGTTACTTGCAGCCAAACACAGTTGGACGACATTGCCCATGAGCAGACCATTATTTGTAGACAGTTATTTGCAGGTCACATGCATGGTGGGCTCTCTGCCAATGAAAAAGAAGAAATATTTGCATCAAATGATAATTTAGGGCATTCTTTCTAGGTACATCTTTATTTTATATATCGAAGTAGTAAGATTCCTTGGCTACAGGAAAAAATACTATACATTGTTGGCTTTAGGAAATTTTTGATACACGCCAAATAAAGATTAAACTATCAGTGCTCTGCAGGGCTTCTGATATTTCGCGCGGTCGCGGACCCGCGAAATTCCCAAAAAAACACGAAATACCGCGAAATCCGCCAGAAGTATTTCCAAATACATGTCGGCAAAACATATTTAATACTTATCTTGGCCATTAGACCTGTTCTATTCACCCCAAACGTCCAAATTTATCTTGAAACTTCGTCGCTGTAACGAGTAAACAACGTCTCAAAACTACCAGGCGTTCTTAGATGAACGTTGCGAAAAACTGGGCACTAACCATAATGTAAAGAGCTTTAGCATTCGCTCATCTCTCGAGCGAACCGTTGTTGAAAGAGCAAATGATTATCCCTGTTAAAAAAACGTTAAACAAATGCTGGTCATATCGACGCAAAATTGATCGATTTTAGCGAAATTTGCCACAAAAATCCAGCGAAATCGGCTGTTTTTTACTTCGGCGGAGCGCGAAGTAAAGCATTCGCGACGCTCAGGAATGTATCAAAGTTGCAATTTTTTGACAAGATTGGGCAAGCAAAGTGTGTAGGTTTTCGGCTCTATTCGACTATTTGACGAAGTGGAAGCCGAATTAGTTCGAGATATCTCGAGATCACTTCGATTTCTTTGATTTATTCTTTAACTTTTTCGAGGAAGAAAGAATTACTATTTTGGCCNAACAATAGAATTTTGACAGTTGAAAGTAATTTGCATAACCTCAGAGCGCATGCTCTCCAGCTGACATAGCCCCTTTAATTAGTTCCACAACCACGACGCCGAAGTGTACGCTAGCTCCGTAGCGTCTTGTTACTGATTGTTTCTTGGCGAAGTTTCCCCCCGAAATTTCCCATGAAGTCGGCCGATTTGTCTTAGAATTTGCCCCGAAAATCCTTCGAGATTTGACTTTTTTCCGCTAAAATCCCGCGAAATCGGCCGATTTTTCTGCGAATTTTGACTTTTTTCCCGCGAAATCCGTCGATTTTTCCGCGAATTTGCCCCTGAAAATCCCGCGAAATTTTGCTTTTTTTTCCGCGAAATATCAGAAGCCCTGGCTCTGCAAGGCAGTAAAACATACTATACACTGAGAAGAAAGGTTCAATGCACATGTTAGAAATTAATATCATTCTATACTAGTAAGTGATTGCTCTATTTTTCCTACCCAACAGGTCCGTTGCCAAAACAATTATATAAAGATACTACTCTTTGACACTGTTCCGGGTCGTATTTTTGCATGTGGTACTTATGCAACAAGAACAAGGTGTTGGAGATTCCAGGTAAATAGTTAAAAGAATATAAATTAATGTACATGACATACGTACACAAGTTGGAAGGACTTGCTACACATGCAAGTGGACCAATATATAATAACTTTGTGTTCTAAGTAGAAAGATGCAATTTTCTTAAATTTCCAATAACTGACTTTTCAGATTAAGTGCAGTATATTTCATATGAGAGAGACGTACATAGCTGAGTTAATTGTGAGTTTTACAGACCATCTTTTTAGTGGTGATTGAAATTGCAGAAACTTCCAATAGGGATACAAGGTTTTGATTCTTTTTAACTTTTTTTTTTGTAATTTCAGAAATGGGGAATTTTTTTGGTCATTGCTTAATTTACAACAGTGAACTGTGCTTATAATACCAGAAATGATCGTGTCTGAGCAGCAAGAACTTGTGTACCTTAGTGCCAACTATTTTTCAGTGGCACAGGAAAATGGAATTCAAAGTAAATTGTTGTTTTTTGTTTTCGTAAGACGTTGAACACGGATTTGATGTTCATTTTTCATTTTGCTGTGTTAATGAAAAACACATTTGACATTAATTTTTCATATTGTTATGTTGATGAAGAACAGATTTGAATTTTCTTTTTTTTTCCATTTTCCTACATATTAATAAAAAAAGATTCAAATTTTTCTTCTTTTTCCCCATATGTACATGTTAATGAAAAACGAATTTGAATTTGTTTTTTCTTTTTCGTATGGCACTAGAAAACGGAATTAGATGTTTTGGTTTCCCGTGTTACAGAAAAACAGATTTATATTTTGTTTTTCGTTTTCCTAAGAAACATGGATTTTTTGATCGGCCTGAGCTCAAACTGAAGTCATTTAGACTATCCCCAAAATAGAGAAAAACAGCCCATCACGATTCAATAGATTACTGCGCAGTTGCTCTCCCTTGCGGCTGTTTGATTTACAGGTTGTGGGCTTTGACAGCTGGAAGGTTTACTGAAATTTTGAAAGGTTTTTAGCTGGGTGGGGGGTGGGAAGGGGTAATGCAACATATGGGCTGTATGCCATTGTGGAGGGTATGGCCAGTTTTCAAGCAGTTTAGTCTGGGATACGGTGTAGATATCAGAGAGTTTCGGTCTAGCATAAGGTATCTTTTCCCAGAAAACTGATCAACTGGTTGAAGACTTACTTAGTCTACACTAAGGAAACTAAGAATTGATGCTGACAAAAAAAATGAGATTGGCAAATCTAAATTTACCTGGAACTCATTTGAAACTGTAAAGAAAGTGATGCCCTCCGCAATTTCTGGAAAATAGCAATTTAAATCCATTTTTCATGTCCTACTCCTCTAAGAGAATTTGATTTCTTTGAGCCAAGAGGAAATGCTATTTTTGGGCATTCTGGCAGAATGTTTGTGTCTCTATACCAAACTTCAAGGCTATGTTTTTGGTGCTCTTTTTTAACATAGCAATTCATTCAGGCCCCCTTTACAGCCATTATGATTTTTTTCCAAGGAAATTGAGAATCAAAAAAACCTCCTTCCTTGTATATGTTTCATGACGTAGACTTTAGAATTAAGTACTGTAGTATTCTTACAAAGAAAAGGTCATTTGTACTAAGGGGCCGACCGTTTAACTCTTGAGGGGTAGGGGGTTGGGTGATGTTGAAAAAAATTTCCTGCAAGCGCTTGTCGGAAGAAAAAAATTGAGTTCAGCACAATGTAATAGAAAGCTTATGGGAAAAAAGGGAAAAAAGTATCCTGCCCACCAGATTGCTAGAAAAAAAAAATTCTTGATAACCAGAAATCACCCCCCCACCCTTGTCCTCAAGAGTTAAATGGTTGGCCCCTAATTTGTAAACCTATTAAGCATACAAAGGAAGTTGTTTTACAATCTTATTTTAATTTTTTTATGTGAATTTTCTTTGACAGGGTGCCAATAACTTAAATCCCATGCCACCTGATGGAATTAACGGAAAAGGAATAAGTCCAGTTAGTTATGATCAGAATGTCACTGGTACCTTTACAGGTAAGAATTTGTAATGACTGTTCCCCTGGCAGCTTTTGTAAGTTTCTGCTATATATCTTGAGTCCTTCATCCTTTACCATTCAGTGAAAACCAAATTGTCAGAGTTGGAATTAGAAGCAGAACGATAAACTGACCATTCAATCACAATGCTTGTTCCTATTTTTTGTGATTGGTTTAGTTCTTTTACTTTTGCTTACACTTAGATCATATGTAAGCAATGAACTCAGCATAAGCAACGTAAGAACACTGTTTTCACCATTTATCAAAACACTTTGCACTTCTGATTACATTTGCAACACTGACTCCATTGCTGGTGGAAACCATCCTTAAGAGTTTTACTGGCAAATTAAGTGTTTTATAGCAGCCAATAGTAATTATAAATAAAATAAAAGTAAATTTCCAATTTTGCCTGTTTAGATGACCACCTGTTCACTGGAATTAACTTACGTGGTGGCACGGATAACTCAGTTATTTACAGGACTACAGCAAATGCAAGCACTGGTGTTTATCTGACATCTCTTGAAACGGTTTTGCAAGGTATAATTTGACTGGCAATACTGTAATTCTATTGTTGCAAATAATTCACTGGCAAACATTGTATGCAATGTAAAATTAGTATAATAAATTATAAAATTTAATCCAGCAAAGAGGAGTTTTGCAAACAACGAGAGAAGAAGCCTTAACAAAGAATTAATTATAATTTTTTGTACTTTTACCTAAAAAATGTAGGGTTGTTACATTTTTTCTGTTTCTGCTCAGTTTACCTTCCTGCAGTCGGTTTTACATAACAACCAAAAGACCATCATAAGCCTCACAGTTATTTGTCATTCCATATTTGGTTTACTAGCAGATGTCTGAAAGATAGCACTTCAAAGCCTGAAGAAAAGTTAAACTGAAGAAATCCGAGAAAATTTGATTTGCTGAGTAATCTACTTTGACAAGTTTTCATTTTAGACCAACTAGCAACAACATTGCATATTAGTCTGTCACGCATTCTCGTTTTATGTATTTAATGAGCTTATTTTAAAACATATCGAGTTGAATGATAAATCTCTTATTGAATGTTTAGTGTGTAGTATCGTGGGATATTTTTACTCGTCTCCTGTATTTTGTCTCGCCCTGCAGGCTCGCCAAAATATAGTCTGCTACACCGCCGTTTTTAGGGTCGTCACGCAACGCTCCTCCCGAGGAGCGTTGCGTGACGACGCTAAAAACGGCTGTGTAGCAGACTAGCCAAAATACGGCGTGACTCATAAAAATATCCCATACTAAACTGTCCAATAAGATATATGTATTTTCAGGGGCAGAACCAATTTTCTTTGTGTTCAGTTGGAGTCATAAAATCACCAGAAATATACATGTATATCAAAAGGAATAGGGTTAAAGCACTGAAAAAGTATGCGTGACGTTTGAGTTTGTCCTTTCTTTGTGACTGCACAATATTATATTGATTTTGCTTTTTTTTTCTTAGATGCCAACTTTGTGTCATCATTTCATTACTCAGATAACTTTGTGTACTTTTTTCTAAGAGAGACTGCAGTGGAAATGAACAAGGTGAGTGTATGAACCTGTGATGTGATTATATGGTGAACCGGACAGTGACCTTTGAATTTGTACATTATTTTAAAATTGAGATGTTGCCGGTAAAAGACACGTTATGTGGATTCAAAAATTGCATAGCAATGTTACACAGTGTCAACCATTCTTGCCCTAGCATTAAATATCGTAAGAATATTGTTTTTATTGTCCTGTGCTACATTTGTCTCTAAATACCATAAGTCATTCACCTTGTCAAAACAGCATATATAATTCGTGGAACCCACGGAACCCCCTGTAGTGTACTTTTTAAAGCAGAAAATATGTACCTGAGTAGTCATGGAGGGATGAAATTAAGCCCCCTTAGTGTCTTCCCCTCTCTTCCCTTTGATTAATATGCATAACTGTCTTCCTCCATAGTAATGAGGGTCTTCCTGCATACTGTAACTGTCTTCCTCCATACTAATGAGGTTCTTCCTCCATATGTAATGAGCGTGTCTCTGCTATAATAGGAACAACAGGTTTGCCCAGTCAGTAACTTGGGTCTGGTTTTGCGGACCGTCTATTGGAAAAAATGCGAATAAGACAAGCGATCACCTAGTAATGCGAGAAACGGCTTGTGTCTTCTATTTAGCGCTGAAAAATCGGATATATAAGCAAAATACATACACAAAGTGGTGATGAAAAGTCTTTATTTCAATTTAGCTTATGTCTTCTTATTTAGCGCTAAAACTCGGATATATTAACAAACACACACTCATACACAAAGTGGAGCTGAAAACTCTTTATTTCAAGTTTCTTTGACTATTACAAAACCGTTTTCTCCTTTCTATCTCAAGGAAAGGACTAACTATTGAAGTCTTGAGCAGCGTTTCATGCACCATTAGTCAGTTAGTATGGAGGAAGACACTGACTATAAGGCACTTAATTAGTATGTAGAAAGACAGTTATTAGTATGTAGGGAGGCCCTCATTAGTATGGAGGAAGACAGTTATGCATATTAATCAAAGAGAAGACAAGGGAAGACACTAACAGGGCTTAATTTCATCCCTCTATGACGTACTTACCTGAATATTATCGTTTAAAGCCTCTCCAGGGTATGCAGTAACCTGAGATCAGGCCCAATTTGAGCGGTTCTCATACATTCTCTCTATCGGCTACCGCTGAAATTGGGCCTGATACAAACTATTACAAGTTTGTGCTCGTAATGCTCGTTACGGCCAGATTTTGGCCGTAACGTTGATTGGCTGTTAGAACAATGCCACAAGATCTGATTGGTCGTCGGAAACGCCGGAAGTTGAAAGCGCTTATTCCTCGCGTGGTTGTTTTCGTGAATGATCAGTCGTCGGTGGAGAGAAGGATTGATTTTGCTGTCGTTTTTATTGTTTTATGGTCTTATGGTAGGAAAATATGCCTTAATATGTGCCATGGAAATTCAGAAAATTCATGTGGTTGTTCATATCTTCCTAGGATTTGCTTTATTTACGGAAAGTGAGTGCATCGCGGAGTTGAATCCCTCTGTAACAGGGCGGATAAAGGATGGGCGGTGAAACGAGCGCATCCGAGCAAAAAGGTGTGATGCAGTGGACTGGGACTCTGCTTAGAAATGTCGCTTGTTTTCGACTTCGATCAGGGCTTGTGATGTGGTTTGTCCATTAGATACTGCCGCTGTGACTGAATTATGGCGGCTTGATTTGTTTTCTTGCACTTCTTCCTCGTTTCTTTGTGCTGGTACGCTGTCTCCGAGAGGCAAATGTTGCTATTTTTGCGGGAGGTTTAATTGGAGTAGAAAAACATCTCTTTTAAAGGGTTTCTCTTATTACTTCCATGACTCTACCACTGAATTATATTTTCGTTCTACTACTCGCCAATGTCGCTGTTATTCCAAAACATAAAACAACTAAGTACTCTCTAAAACACGAACGAAAATCCCATCCATGTCATCCATGGCAGAACTAAAAGACGGCAGATCGTGTTTCATGACTAGATGACGTGTATTTTATAAATGCGTGCAGCTCGTGCAAGGTGAAATTATGCTAATTTCTGATCACCATCGTCCTTCTTTTTAATTTTGAAAAAAACATCTCATACGTCTTTCTGTTTCTTCGAAACTTCAAAATTAGTTTCCCCTCAGTTTTTACTGTTTACCTTGTTTTATTTTAGAGAGAAAAACGGAGAAAAACCTCACAACTAACCTCAATAAATTTTGTTTACACGCGGTTGCCGGATTTGCGAGGCATTGCGCGAATCGCCATGGCGCTTTGCACCCGAGAAGCAAAGTTTGAAGCAGTACAACGCCACTATATCAAAATATATCAATCTAATTTTTTGTTACGTTATGTAAAATTTATCCCCCTTTAACATATGTAAAAATTGAGGTTAAGAAGTGTTAAGCTTTTGCAAACGAAACGGCGAAAGACGATTAGGTGATATTTGGTGAAAGGAGGAGGTATTCAACACTTTAAAATTAAACTCAAATTTTGGCATTACACGACCAAGAAGTTTGACTTATAGGCATACAGACACAAACATATGAAACTGTTTTATTGATGTTGTTATGAAACGAATTTATCTATTTAACATTGTAGCCTGAAATTACAGAAAGAAAATAGGATTTCCGGTTTGCAAAAAAGAAAATTTCGCCGGCCTTCAAGCGCACCGGAAGCGCGGAAAGAGCGCTCGTGCCAGTCCTACTCCGCATCACACATTAAATGAAGAGCGGAGCGCTCGTTTCACCGCCCAACATTTATCCGCCCTGCTCTATAAGTTGTTGACCGCTAACAAGGTGCATTTTGATTAACAGATAAAAGCTATTTTTTTAAGTCAGCCAGTCTGCATTTTTCCCACGCGTTAAAAATTTGCATACTAGAAAAACAAGCAACGGAAGTAATTCTGATTGGCTGATTCGGCAAATGTCAATCAATCAGAAAAGTGAGCGGCAGACATTTCGTTAAAGGTTTGTATCAGGCTCTCTTTTCGCTTCGCCTTGCCCGCCGGAATGTAATTTTCAAAGCGAAACGAAAATAGAGCCTGATCTCATGTTAGGTATGCAGAGGTATCCGTATCTCTGTTATTGACACAAGAATGGTCACTGGTTTTGACAATAATCGTCCGCGATCATTTTGGAAAGGATGTGTCAGCCATATGCAGCATAGTTCAAATGCATTTTTCGAATCCTTGCAAAAAGTTTCGAAAAGAAAAGTGCATCCTCTTACTGCAAGTAGCCAGCGTTACAATTCAGTTCTTCCTTAACGTGTAGAGTGACCACTACTCATCAGAGAGACAGGACTCAAAGCACATAGAGTCTGTGGAAAACCCGCATATAAGAACCTAGTGATTTAACAACCTACAGGCTGAAATTTGGCATTTAAATACCCAAAAATATATGGGAACCTGTTCAGCCTGGCAAAGAAAAATAGGTTCTTATACAAAAAAATCACTCCAATTTTGATGGTCAAAATTCTCTACTTAATTGTGTGAGAAACTTCTGACAAAAGTTATATGTGTATATGTTTTCTTTGATTTATATTTGTCTGGATTTTCACTGGAAATATGTCTTCCATTATGTATTAGAAGTACAATATTTCTGCCAATGGTTACACTATGACAACCTCTGAAAAGTAAAGTGTCGGGCGAGAGGCAATGAAAGCGTAAAAATATCGAGAGCATTCCTGAATATTGAAGCGAAATGAGTCGGCGCTCACCTGGGAAAAAGGAATCGCTGGACTCTTTGACAACCCGTGAAATCAGTTTAACTCGAAGTTGTCGTAACCTCAGTGCTTTAATAAAATGAGAAATTTCGCCGGTCTATTGAAACCGGTCGTTTGTACAATTTAGGGAGTTTAAGATCCAACGACGCGGACGACAACTAGAACGTCAAAAAAACAATAGGTTTAATTAGCAAAACAACAACTTCGCACGTGCAACACACTTTTTTGTTCATTTCTTTCCCGTTTTTGCACGACTACGACGTGAAAATGCCTAATTTCGCGTTTTATGGAGGACGTAAATAAGCAACGACGAAATTTTATTTCTCTTTCTGAGCTTGAATATGGTCCCTTGAAATTCAGCTTTAGGAGGGTTCGCCTACAATTGACAAAGTAAGTGGGTAGGAATAATCGCTATAAAGACTGAAAAAAATAAACATCAAACCAGAAATTGCTCTCTTCAAACTGTAAATTATAAATGATCCTGAGAGAATATTCAGTGTGTTAAGGATTTCCCTGCTCTACTGTTAGCTCTATACAAGAGAGGAAGGGCGATTCTTTTTTAATTTCGGTTTCGCTGAGACAGCTTTCGCAGAAATCTCGCTGTAGTCGTTTTCGTCGACAAAAGGAATAGCAAAAAATCGCTCTCCGCGTCTTCCCCCATTTTGTTCTGCGTCATTTCATGAAGGACGCGTGGCTCTCAGCGTGGGTCATCCACGCGGAACACATTCGCGCTATGTGATTGGCTGTTGTCTAATCCCCCTTGACATCTGTGGTGTTAAAAATAACTCGAGACAAATTACCTATGGAATAGGGTGTATATGGGGGATGCTCTCTCTGTCCCCTTTATAGTCTCTTGCTAGTGTATGAATAGACTTGAAATGCTGTTGGTGATGGCGTTTGGTTCCGATGTTGTATATATCCTATCCATCATATATTATGGCTCTTTTAAAAAACAAATGGTATTTTTTTTATTTCTGTGGCTTAGCAGAAGAAGAAGAAATAAAAAAATTTCCAGTGACCGAGTTGGAGCACACACTCTTTCGCGAGCAACACGCCTCACGTGTTGCGACCTTAACCACCCAGTTAAGGTAACCAGCTTTGAAAAGCAAATTGAGAATATTAAAATTTTATGTGTTAAGGTGGCTCGATACAGTTTTTCAGGGTCAATACCTTCCAAGTTTGAGCATAAACTACGTCGCCATAAACAAAGATTTGGAAAAATTGCCACCTCAGTTGTATGAGATAAAGATGAAAATTTGTTATGATCAAGGTTGCAGTGACATCGGAGTTGTCATAGCAACGAAATGACGCTATTACCTATTTTACTTGCAGCAGTATTTCTCGGCATTGGGAACTGTGCTTCCACAATCGTTTACGGGAGCTTTTTCCTCGCCGCGTCGATGTTCGTGAAGTTTAAGCGAAATCTCTAAGAGCGTTATCTAGATATTTTGGGATAAAGTTTTTATGGTTAGAAATACGGTAAAAAATGGACAATCTTGATGTTCAGCTGTTATCTGTAGAAAACGAAGCGCTTTTGACATACAATTTCACCTCATAGAAGTTTCAATCTTTATAAAAACGTGTGTGAAAGACCGCGGAGATAGCTCCAGCCGATTGGTAGAAAGAAGGATTTGATTAGTATGTATCGAGGCCCTCTTGTTAGCGGTTTGTAAACATTTTGGTCTACTTGGAACAAATAAGCGAATAATTTGTAAACCGCTCGATAGATTTTTTTAAAAATTTAAGATTCTTGAGATTGACATTCCTTTAATATGACCTTAAAGTTTCAAGATTATTGATATATTTTAAGGTAGTAAAATAAGGGCTACAATTCGCTAATATTTTGTCAGAAATTTTGTGTTTACAAGTGAGAGCCTCTCATTATTCAGGGTATTGTCTCCAACTTCCATATTTTTGTGTACAACAATAGCTAGCGTTTTTGCATGTTTCAAATGCATTGTTATTTACTGCTGTTCACGTGAAAATGAAACTTGGAGACAATACCTTGAATATGACAATAACATCTTTTAATGAGAGGCCTTTACTTGTAATGACGAATCTTCAGATAAAAAATTAACGAATTTTCATCTTTCTCTAATAGAACTGTGGTGGCAATTTTTCCAAATCTTTGTTTATGGCGGCATTTATGCTCAAACTTGGGAGGTATTGACCCTGAAAAACTGTATCGAGCCACTTTAACATTATGGAAGTCCTTTCGCGCAAAGCCGATTTAACTACTGTTTGAAAAAGAAACACCTCTTGGACGATTTAAATTTCTAATAGTGGTAAAAAGAAATCTACGACGTGACTCGTGGAAACATCTTTTATACAAAAAATGAAAGCACACTAAGAGAACTCGAGCTTCCGAAACATCTTTTCTAACCCTTGTGTGATGAGGTATAAACCGCGGGTTTACATCGTTTCCATGATAGTTTTGCAGATTTATGACTTGGAATTAAATTCCCTAAAGGTAAAGCTTGATAAAATACCATTATGTGTATTTGGGAACATCAGCTTTAATATGTCGGGCTACCTGCGGGTAGACTAGTGCCTATACTATGCTCGGTATCTTGATCAGTTTAAAACAGTGAGAAGAAATCCATACCCTGGAAACGGTTTTACGCTATATTCAGGAGCATGTATTTATTTATAAAGTTATTTTTGTTTTATTTAAGGTTCTCGTAGGTTCCGCAAATTATTGGTTTCAATATTTTGTTCATTATTCATTTTGCAGGCAACATTTTGTTAAATCAAATCGTGAAACTGTCTGAATAGATTGCCCAGTAGTATTGAACTTGTTGAAAAATGTTTAAAGTCATTACAATGAAATTTTTAAAATAAGATGCCAGTTGTGTTTAGGGCAGATCCTACTTACACAGTTGAACAGGCACTGAACAAACTGATTTCGCTTTCACTTTTTGTCCATCATCCTTTCAACTTGCATTATATACACTGATATTTTAATAAGTACTTATTTTCTTAGTGGCATAATTTTTTTCATGACACCCCAGAGACTATGTGCAGCTAGGTGAGCTTTTTTCGTTAGTTTTTAAACTACTTTTGTGTGAATTGCTTCCTCTCACAGCAAATAGTTTACTCAAGAGTTGCTAGAGTTTGTCAGGTTTGTAGCAATATCAGTACATGGGTGTTTTTTTTTTATTTTAAGGTGCATTTGAATGCAATCAATCTGGATATTGTATGAAGTGAAGGCATAACATGTAAAACTGAAACACTCTAATAAAAATATGTTTCACATGAAAGGCAATTCAATGCCAATCAGTTTCATTTGAATGGAGACACTATTATGAAAGGTTTCTTTCACAGACTCAACTAGGGTGAAACAAATAATGGTGATAAAATAATAAGAAAGTTCTCTGAATATATTTTTTGAATGTGAAATACTGACAGACAAGAAAAGTGACAAACTGAGATGTTTTTAGTACAACACATTCAACCAAATCAGTTAAACAAATTAGTGGCAACTGATAGATATTGGATATTCTGTTAGACAATTATCATAAATATTTATTGAGTAATGTTTTAAAATACAGAGTCAATATTTAGGTCAGGATATAATTATTTTCTTTTGCTTTCTTTAAGAGAACGTACCGTTCGTTAAGTGTCTTTGCTTTGTTTCTCCAAAGCAAAGCAAACATGGTAGAGTCAAACCCCATTTAACGGACACCCGCTTAATACGGACACCTTGTTATTACAGACAGTTTGCTTTGTGCCTGTGGAAAGAAAGCCCTTACATTTTCTCTAATTTCAACCCACTTAATATGGACACCCGTTAATGCGGACAATGGACACTTGTTTCTTGGCCAATGAACAGATCAGTTTTCATAGAAAGTTAACCTCGAAAATGCGGACACTTCAGTATCAACTGTATTATTATAAGAAACCTTTTCGGCTTGAAGGTAAAATTTCTTCAGTTGACAGCATTTCGATGTTCCCTACTATTTTCATGCATCAAACTAGTTGTGGATGTATGCAGAGAACCGTTTTTCAGTGTTTCCTTCAGACCTGCTTAATGCGGACACCCCGTTAATATGAACCCTTTGTATGGCTCCTTCAGTGTCCGTATTAACGGGATTTGACTGTAACAATAAATACACAACTTTATTTGCTGCCCCAGAGCATCCCAGTGACGTCCCAATAATTGGCTTAATTTGAAAAAAATCACAAAGGTCCAAAAATTACTTGCCCACTTTTTGCTGAAAACCTTTCAATTACATGCCCTATTCTAAATATCTGTTTGACATCTAACCCTATCGTTTATTTAAGATATTTCTAGTTTAACAACATTTTAACGGTTTCCTTTGCATTTCAGTATGATGAGGGTGGAGTGTTGGGCGTTCTTAAAAATAAATTTACATCATTTGTCAAAACTAGAGTAAGATGCTTTCTTCCTGGAAACATACCGTTTGATTTTGATGAGATACGTAAGTTGTTTTGCTACTTATGCAGAATCTGTTGTGGTTCAATTTTATCCTTAGTTTAATTTATATTTCCCTTAATTTGTTTTAAACTCATTTCCATGCTTTACCATAACCCATAACAGAGGGAAATAGGTTTTCAACATATCCAAGATACTTTTTATCAGATATTTAATGTGTGTTTAATGGATGTATCATGCCTGTTCAGTAACATTAACCCTGCATTATTGACACTAGAATAACTTGAACGAATTAGTTTTTCCCTCTGAATACTGGTAATATAGTCAATTAATGTAATAACAGTTTTCTGCAAATAAACAGTAACATTCTAATTGATTCAATTTCCAAATGACGTTTTGTTGGCACATACACTTAAGACTGAGCTTCCACCAATGTATACAGCTTCTGTTATTCATTTTAATTTACAGAAGCAGCTATCAAGGCTACTGATCCTAAAACAAATGACGACTACATTTACGGAATCTTTACTACGCCAGAGTAAGATTTTATTTATTTCACGTAAGTCATCGAAATTATTCCGAGCTTCGGATTTTCTGTGAGGCCTTCTTGGCAGAGGACTTCATTCCTAAATCATCTTAAATGCAAGCACGATGAACCAAGGAAAAAACCTTCTTTACTGCTTCTTTAAATCCCGAACACAGTTGATTTCATTCAAGATAGTTTGAAAATGGGCCTCTGAAGTCAGCAGTTTCTCCCTGTACAAATTGACAGTTCTAAAAAAGTATAAAAATAATATGTAAATATTTTTACAATATGACGATGTCTGCTGCTAAGGTAATGAGTGAAAACGTCGAATCTTTGTGACTTAAGTGGCCTGTTGTAAATCAATACAACTAGAGTCCTTTGTTTGTTAACTTCTTGATAGCTAGTCAGTGGTGGATAATATCAACCGCATAAAGGATTAACCAAGTGGTTACTGTGTGTTATTTAGTCTAGTAGGGATACCTAGCTCAGCTGTTTGCAGGTACAGCATGAAGTCTCTTGTAAAGTTATTTGATGACAGCCAGTACTTGGAAGATAAATCTGAACGGCAGCGAGGTCCCCCGTGTTGGCAGCCAGTGTCTCCTGTCAACTTGTCAAAAGTTCCTGGTAGGCCAAAGGTGAGATTGAGATACCAAGTGACACTACAGTAATTGATATAATTTAGTTTTTCGCAACGTTTGGTTGTTTCTGAGTTTGTCTCAAGACATTCTTGGTGTTGGTGCTGTGATTAGTTATACACTGATATGTATTCTAGATTTGTCTAAATTATGATTCAGGGTAGTCATCGTCTTTTCCAGGGTTGTCTCTGTCAGTAAAAGTGAAGTCTAACAAGCTAATAACAAACAGATTAAAATTTCTTTGTTTTCCGTTAAATCGAGCTCTGGCATAGAATAAAGGGATGGAATAAAGCGGTTCATGATATTTTCAAGCTATTGTGCTATACTATTCTCTATGGTAAAGACCTGATCCAAACAAAAGAGTTGTCTTTTTTTGGTCACAATTCAGTCAATAAAAGCTGACATTTGTTTTTCTAAGATGGCTATTTATGGGTCATTTGACATTCTTTATTTTTTTTAATGTGTTTTTTTTCCCGTAAAATATGTAACTCCACCCACCCAAAATAAATTACTGTGAAACCGCCTCCTTACGGCCACCTCGGTAATACGATCACCTCGTTATTACGGCCGCTTTTTTTGGCACGGCAAAACGGCCATATATTTTCTTGTAAAAAAACCCTCGTTAATACGGTAACCCGTTAGTACGGCGAACGGCCACATTTTAAAATTCCAAACAGTGGAACCTTTTACAATTTCACCCCGTTAATACGGCCACTCGTCAGAAATCTCAGTCCTTAAGTCATGAAATTTGACCCTGCCCCGGTAATACGGCCAAATTTTTTTGGCCCATTGGTGACCGTATTAACGGGATTCCACTGTAGCAATAATTATTGAATGTGGCTGATGACCTGAAGAATTATGGAGATAGAGGAGGGTGTTATCGGCTTCGGCGGATAATCCGAGATCTGTATAATTCTTCAGACCATATGCAAGCCAAATCCAATAATTGTTTTATTATTTATTCAAAATAGTTCCTAGTTCAAAATAATACCTAAAACATGCTTACCTCGAGCTATGTTAAGTTCCTCTCTTTCTTTGTTTGCCTGTTCCTCGATAATTTCAGGGTACGGTCCAAAGGGTTGTTTAGTCTAGCAGATATTATTCAAATAGCAGATGCCATCCATCAACTTGACAGCAGTTTTCCTATGTTTTTAGGCAGTTGTTCGGCTGTTTCTTCGAATAACGTGTGACTGAAATGTTCCGCCATTTTCTACTGCTCTACCAACTTGCTGTAACAGTCCTCATTCTGAATGACTTTATGCTGCCAGACGTCACGTGAACTCTACATGTGATTTACTTGGCTTGAATTTACCACCATGTACACTGTGGCCTGAAAATCCAGATAATTCTCTGAGCCAAAAATACGTCTGTTGTAACTGACGAGCCCCACCATTCTCCGCTACAAGTTATTGAAGTAATGTAAACAATGTGAATCCTGCTGCAAAGAATAGTTATTATGGTGCTAATGATGCTTAATCTATTTGTTGTAGTGTGATAAAAACCTTGACACCAAAAGTTACTCGTTGGACAGCATTGTTTTTGCTGAACTTCATCCTCTGCTTGCTGAAACACTGACGTCAAGCCGCCAGACCCCTCTATTTACTAGAGCTCAAACAAGGTACTCACTGAAAATACAAAAACAAGAAAACTGTACTTTGTGTTCTGTATGTGCCGATGTACTGTAGCGTTGTGGGAATGTTTCCTTTTTGTGGTGAAATTAATTTCTGTTGATTGCAGATTTACTGGAATTGTAGTGGATTACGTTAAGGGCGGAAGTGGAGCTGTTATTCCTGTCATGTTTGTTGCTACAGGTAACCTGTATATTGAACAATATTATTGGCCGATCAAGGGGAATGTTATGACAGCCTCTGAAACGAAAACCAACGAATGTTGAATTCAGTTCAATACAGTTGACCCCCAATGACTCGAACCTCGCGTTAACTCAAATCCTGGATTTCCTTCATACATTTACTGTTACTTTATTCTCGGTAACTCGAACCTTCCGCTAACTCGAAGTAATTGTTGTTTCCCTTCAGATCGTTTGTATATAACTTTACCCTCGATAACTCGAACCATGTTTTAACCGCGTGACGAATTTGAAAACAAAAACATTCCGTAATACCGATTTTTTTTTAAGGCAACCGTGTAAATTCTTTGTCTTTACTTTTATGTCATTCCAGTTCAAATTCAGTGTCCATCCCTGTACACTAATCAAGCTTTGTTGGTCAATTCCTTTTCCAAAATATCAATTTATATCTCTTGCTGCCCTTGAAGAGAAGTGCACATGTTACTTGTGTTCCCTCTCCATCCATTTGCTTATTTCCTTACTTTAGGTTAATTGCCCCGAACTCCCGATAACTCGAATTTTTTCGATTTCCCTAGAAGGTTCGAGTTATCGAGAGTCGACTGTAATTGTTTTATTACTCATTCAAGAAAATTTTTTAGTTCTTGAAAAGCTTACCTTCTCGAAGGTTTTGTTCAAAATTTTGGCATACCGTTTCTTGGCATGGTTTCAAGAGAGATGTTTTTCTTTTTTAAAGATAGTTCGCCTTAAGAAAAAAAATAATTTCACGAGTATACCATTTGATTACCTATTAATATCATGGGTGACGACTTACGTTAGCAATCTTGGATTTTTGTCATGTTTATCCTGGGTCGTATCGATCGAGAACTCCTCTCTCTCAAATTTTTCGACCTTAAATTTGGCTTATAAAGTTCAGAATTTTTCGGCAAAATACCTGTTAGAAACCTTCTTGATGTTCTCTTGTGTATTCAGGTTTTCTAAGCGTCTTTTTGTGCCCTGACATCTTCATTCACGGCATTTTAAAACTTCAGCTGAAACTTCGTCGCCATCTTGACACTGAGACGTACGGAAGGTTGCCATGACAATTTTGTAATTTCACATGTGAAATTACAACTTAACGCTGAAATTTCGCGCCAAAATTAAGGAGTTATTCGTCACTTATGATATTAGGAGTATTATGGGATGCCCAGGGGGCATGAGCATGATCTCATATACTTGCATCAGTATCTACGCGCGCTTTTCGGGCCAATTTTTCTTTAAGTTTTCCTAGAAAAAGATTGTAATGAGAAAAAAAGATCCTTGTTCCGTCTTTGTATGTAACAACGATCGCCTTTTTCCCGAGAAATATATACAGTGAAGTTCTCTTTTTGCCCGAAAAGCACGCGTAAATCCTGAGCGACTGCCCCCTGGGCATCCCATTCTTCGGATACCCGGAGAGCAATTTTTTTTTTAAGTCCACTATTGTCCAAGCAGCCTCTTTTGGGGGCAAATTTACCATCGATCAACCTTGTTTCCAATCAAATATACCATCGAATCGATGGTATGTTGCTCGCACCTTCCAAATATGGTAAGCGCCAGTTGGTTATGAAAAATAGACCTTATTCACGATACCCGCCAACTATGCACGCCCTTTATGAATGATGGGAGAAAAGCAATGTCACGTGGTATTTCAGGGGGCAAACAAAAAATAAAATTTGCCAATTCGAGAAATCACGGTCAGCTTTGTTTATTCTCTCAAAACGAAACGACTATTTAATGGTCCTGCAAAATGTACGGCGCTATTTCAGTGTAGTGGCATTGACCATCATAGGAATGGCAGCAGTATATTTTCACGGTAGCTGTGACTTATAAGCTCGCCAAGAAAACTTTCCAAGTAGACCAGTTGTCGCGTATAATGTGGTAACATTGATTGCTGCTGTTATGGCGTACTGTTGATTTGTGATAGTCGTTAGCAGCCTTTAGGGGTCGCTGCTTTGAATGGTTTCTCAAAAACTGGGAACTTCTGAGACTGCAATTTAATGGGATAAAGTTTGTGTCCGTTACTTTCGGTGGGTCATTCTTTCAGGTCTTTATAACTAGTAATAACCAAAGGTTACGGAGTGCTAGCGACAACGATCGAACTGGTCAAGACGCTTTTGCTCCAACGCTGCGCTTTGCGTAAGTTTCACGTGACAGATGGTCAAAACACGCGTGATCAGATTACGAGTGATAGAAGGTCCAAACGCGCCTGATCATATTGCATTCTGTGCATTCCATTCATCCTTAATGGAAGTCCAAACGAATGCTGACTACATGCATTCGACGCATGCGAAATAACTACCTGGAGATAAGGATTACGGGCTCCTCATGTCACCCGCAATACAATTTATAGTGTAAATAGAATAGTCCGGCAGTTTTCACTTATAGTGTGTTAGGTTTTTCTGAGAGAAATGACTTACTTTGTAGATATGGTAAACTGATTTAATTTTAAAATTTGTACACTTACACACGTAATTTTGCTTTTCTTTAGATAATGGGACTGTCTTCAAAGTATTTAACAACGTATCCGGTGATTATAATCCAGTGATTTTGGAACAGATCCAAGTTTTTGAGGTTTGTTTCGTAGACTTCTAGGAGGAAAAAAGACCAGTGCTTTATTGAATAGAAGCCCTCTAGCAGTTTGTTTAGGTCGGCAGGTTCGTAACCATCAGTTTGCGCGGAAAATGCGCCCCCTTTACTTCTTGTTCTTCCTCTTGTTTTCGTTTTTGAAAATTTTTTTCAATTCCTCTGTGGTATTTTCTATCACGGGACAGAAAATCGGCTTTGTAGACCGGCCATTTTTCCACTCGCAATTTTCAAGGTATACGCTAGCACATTGCAGTACCTAATGGGCCATTTCCGAGTTCCCCCGAGCCTCTGTATCAAAACAAGGTTAAGTGCTCAGTCTGTGATATGGAAATAATTTTTCATTCGATTTGATTCTCATGCAAATAAAACTCATTTTCATAAGAAAGGTTTTGCACTTGCCCTCATTTTGAAAGTGGGGGGTTTTGAAACTCGCAAGTAGCCTATTGGTTCTTATTTCTATTGTTTATTAACCAATCACAGTGTTCCAGTCTTTGAGATATGTCAATTTATTTCCCTGTTTTGCATTATATTTCCTCCTTTTTGCACTGCGTTTACTATTTACTATATTGGATTGCTCTCATGCAATAAGATTAATATTCAGTAAATTTTTAAATCCAAGGCAGTAAAATACTTTTAAATACTTGCTTCATTTGTTGGTCATACTGGCTTGTTAACTGGGGTGCGTAGCACGCCTAGTTTATAAAATGGGAAGATAATTGTGGAAAAAATGAAACCGATCAATTAAAATCCCAGTAACCCAGAGGGCGTTGCGTGATCCATAAAGCATATTTGTCCATCTTCACAGTCTGTTTTTTCGGTCTTTAATGCAAGCAACACACGCCTTTTGGCGGTCTAATTTTCGGATAAGGATAAAGAAGACTCGTCCGACGAAAACCGGAACTTTGAGAATTTCGCACACAAGTTCATCTCATAGTCTCATTGGCGAGGGGGTAAATAAGCGGCGAAGCTTCGAGAACGCAAAGCTTCACCGTACCGGGAGCTTCAAATACCAACTTGAGAGAAAACGAATACTGAGCAAGTTACTTGCTAGTACAAGGTTTCGTGACTTAGCATCCTAGAGCTTGCAGTTCTCAATGCGGCCCAGAATTTTGCTTTTGTTTGTATCTGTATCATTAAATTTGTGCGTGATGGAGTGTTATGCTTCTCCTAATTTCTGTGTTTCTACCTATTCAACAACTGAACAAGCACGATTGATGTTAGCATTAGCGAATTTGGATAGACTTTGAAGTTCACAGCTCGCTTTAACACCTTTTGATGGTGTTGGGTTTTATAGTGGGTTGTTTTCTCTTAGAAGCTGTTCGCTGTCTCTTATGGTAAACGTATCGTTTTCATGCAGTACAATAATTCTAGGTTGTCGGAAAGGGTTTCCGACAAATAGTCAGTCTCGATATGGTTGTCTAAAGATCTTTAAGCCACAGATTTGTCCTTCTATGTCACGGGGTGGTCGGCAACAAGGTTAAATACGGCAGCCCAGTTTAACTCGCTTTGAGTATCTTCTTATCAGTTCCTTTTAATTTGCAGAAACCAGATCCTATCTATACAATAAAATTGTTTGAGGTGAGTTAATCGTTACAATTAAAAAAAAAATTGTGATTGTGTAAATGTGTAATGCAGGATATCCATATAGTATTTTCTTGAGCTCTTGTAAACTTCTTGTTAGGACGTGCTTACTACGGTAGCATACGTACTGCTTTGTTTTCTTGTGACGGGTGAACCTCTACTCTGGGTACAACTACAAAGTGCAGATATCCCACTTATAGAACACGGGCCAGTTTTTTTCTACCCTGCGAGCAAGCTCTCCTATTTGGGCGAGCCTCGCGAGAACGCGCGAGCGAGGGGCCGCTTGCGGCTTCGCCGCTCGCTCGCACGTTCTCGCGAGACTCGCTTCGCTCGCCCAAATAGGAGAGCTTGCTCGCAGGCTAGTTTTTTTGCTAACTGAACACGACAACAAAAGCGTTTTGGGGAATACTGTATGGCCATTGTTATAAGCAAACATCAAAAACAGAATGTACAGCTCCAGTGGTAAAAGTGGACCTTTTATTTGACGTCCTTGTTACTTTAAAATTTAAAATTTTAAAATTGTGTGAATACAACACACCGTTTCATCATTACAATGTATACTCTGAGTCTGTTTTGTGTTAAACATTTAGGCAGTTACTTGTACAGTTAATGGTTACGAAATATTTTGACCGTAGGATTATGAAATAAAATATAAACTTGTTGTTTAAGTGAAATTATGGCCGCTAGACAAGGTAGAGCTACTGCCGGAAAAATAGTTTATTTGCAGTTTCAGACTGTGGTCTGTGTGTTGTTACCCGTCTGAAACTAGTTATTCCTTTGCAAAATAAATGATATCGCCTTGTTTCACTCAGTGTAGTATCCGTATTTCCACTGCAATGATGTTTGTTTTGTCATCAGGGTGCTGTGTACATTGGCAGCAGCTCTCATGTTGTAAAGGTTCCTGTGGAACATTGCAATAGATACCTCAGCTGCAGGTAAGTTCTTTGTTAAAACGTTAACTTATTGTGCGGTCAAATCCGGAGCCTTTGCTGTCCACTAACTGCTCGTGACATCATCACGCTTCTCGTACTAAAAAAGATTACGTGTTCATTATTAAATCATGGGGACGGAGATATATTCAACATTTGCCGTTAGAAGGGCACCTCTTAACCTGGGTTTGAGATTAACGCTAAACAAAGTTAATTTAACTGGCATTCATAGTAGATCTATTGGACATGTAAGAGTCATAGAGCGACCATTGAAAAACCTTTTTACTGTGAGCCCTTGGGAACACTGACCTGTCACCATAGTGCTCAACAAAATCTTGTTCTATATGATCAGTTTGAAGGTGAATGTCTAAAGGATAGTTAAACTTTCAAGGTCAAGTTGTTTTAACTGGAAATTTTCCTCTTTGCGTTTGTTAGGAAAAACACGTCGGTTTGTTGCAGTATACCCGTCAACTATGAGTTAAGATTGTTAATTTTATTTTGCTAGGACTTGTGTTTCCAGTTTGGATCCTTACTGTGGTTGGAATAACAACAAATGTACAACATTTGAAGAAAAGGAGGGGAGGTATGCGGTGATTTGATAAATGGAAATTTTGCACTTACGTACCTCTACAGAGACAAACAAAAATTCGCAAATAAACGACTCTGTGTAGATACGGAGTCGAACTTCGCAATTAATTAATTGCGAGTTTTTTTCTTACTTACATATACGAAGCAAAATTTTGCAATTAGTTAATTGCGAAGTTTTACTCTAAATACATATTAATTACACTGATACAAATCTCGCACTTAACCATTTTTTGTTAACTGCGAAATTTGTCTCTGTTTATATCAAAGAAAAAATCTGGCACTTAACCATTTTTCCTTAACTGCAAAATTTCTCTCTGTTTATACTGAGAAACACAAATCTCGCACTCAACTATTTTTCGTTAACTGCGAAATTTCTCTCGGCTGATATATGAAAGAAGCAAAACTCTCACACTTGACAATTTTTCGTTAACAGCGAAATTTCTGTCCGTTTCTACTAAAAAACTCAAATCTCGCACTTAACCATTTTCGTTAACTGCGAAATTTCTCCATGAAAGAACACAAATCTCGCAGTTAACCAGTTTTCACTAACTGCGAAATTTCTCTCTGTTTATATGAAGGAAAAGAAACCTCGCAGTTAACCATATTCGTTAACTGCGAAATGTCTCTCTGTTTATATGAAGGAACACAAATCTCGCAGTTAACCATTTTCGTTAACTGAGAAATGTCTCTCTGTTTACGTGAAGTTATCCATTTTTCGTTAACTGCTAGATTTCTCTCTGTTTATGTGAAGAAGACAAATCTCGCAGTTAACAATTTTTCATTAACTGCGAAATTCGATCTGCAGAATTCTTCATATCCTACTCAGCCTCATTCAATAATTGCTAATTATCAAAACTAGATCTTAAAACAAAAAAGTACATCTCCTGGTTAAGTTAGTCGTTTCTTTTTAAATATTTTGCACAGAATAAATTATAGAATGCACTTCTACTTCAAGAAAATATGGCATCACTACTGTAGAACCATCGTTTTCGTTACAAGAAATATTTTTTTATTGACAGATATCCAGGTACCTGTGAATAATTCTTGCTAAAGTTGTTGAGCAATTTTTTTATTTGTGAATGGTTAATACGTCAAATTGAAGAATATTTTGGACCATCAGAGTTTCCAATTTATGATTAGGAAATGTTTATCAGATATTTCTCTGTGAGTTTGAAGTTGCTGACCTTTTTTTGTAATAAATCTTCAAATTGTTCACCTAGGTTGAAATGAATAGTAGCGTACATCCAATGCGAAAGTGGCCACTAGTTTAATATTCTTTCGTTCATATTAATAAAATCACCCTGAGTAACCTCTTTTAAAATAATACATTCTTTGGAATTTTTATCTTGATAACATCGTTAGCAAGGCTCTTTTTAATGTAAACAAAGAATATTTAAATTGGTGGCCATTTTTGCATTGGGTGTCAGGCCGTTGGGAGGATCTATTTCATTTTTGGACTTTTTCATCAGCCTTTTTTCTTTTTTTCATGACACTTCATTAAGTTGTTAAGTTAAATTTAATTTTTTTTCTGGAATTGTTCCTGTTAATTGAGGGTGCGTTTGTCTCATCGCATGAAATAAGAATACCCCAAAGTTCTTGCAACTCTCATTTGCTAGTGGTTTTTGGAACACTGGAATGCTGATAGTATCTTAATATTTCGATAGTAGATTTCGATAAGCTACTTTGCACAGAATGCAAAAACAAAATATTCATTTAGTGAATTCTAGGGATTATGCCTTCTATTCTGATTCTGGAATAGGCACCCTGAATTGAAAAGTATCATGAGGTTCTATTTCAATTAGGACAACAGCTATTTTTTTCACAATAACATTGTAGAAGACAATCATGGGTAACAGCATTGCAAGCTGGTACCGTTTCAGTTGCCATGGCAATTTGAAAAATATTTAATAGGCAACCAATATAACATCAAAAGTTCCCAATTTGGCAACCTGTGTTTGGTGATCGAATGTAAAGAAGGCTTAGTTATAACCATCAATTAATCTCTGCTTATGCACTCTGGAGACCTGAGGATGGTCTTCAAACTCAGTCTTCTCATTATAGCTTGGTTTTTGACACCTGTAAGAAGCATATTCTTGGCACTTTTAGGGATGATATCCGTAATCAGAGGTGCTTGAAGAAAGGATGAGTAGAGCCCCCTCTCCACAACTTTAAAGATTAAAGTAACAGGGCGTTGTTTTGCCCCAGACTCAAATGATAAAAAGATGTTGTGAGTACGGCAACGTAAGAAGCATATTCTTGGCACTTTTAGGGATGATATCCGTAATCAGAGGTGCTTGAAGAAAGGATGAGTAGACCCCCCTCTCAACAACTTTAAAGATTAAAGTAACAGGGCGTTGTTTTGCTCCAGACTCAAATGATAAAACGATGTTGTGAGTAGGGCAACGTCCCGAATTTGTGGAGTTAAATAAACTTTGCTTCGGTGATTCTCTTTTTTCCCTATTTTTTTAACGCTTCTATGGGCTCATTTAAAGATGCTATCGTAATATATGAATTTTTTCTTCCATTGACACGCACGATTACCAAACGTACCAGAATGTTTGTACTGCGGGTGAAAAGTAAATTGTTTTTCATTCAATCTAAAAAAATGGGTCAATTCATAAAAGTAGAAAGTGACTAAGCTGGGATCGCGAAAATTACATATTTGCCCAAAAGTGACAATGAGGTATACAGTTAGCCACAGAATAGACTATAATGGGGGTAGGGGCTCTGAGAGGCCAGCGGCACATACCCAGCAAAAATAAACCCAAGTACATGGGCCCCCGGGGGTTAACTGCGAGATTTTTGTTTCTTCACATAAACAGAGAGACATTTCGCAGTTAACGAAAATGGTTAACTGCGAGATTTCTGTTCCTTCACATAAACAGAGAGACATGTCGCAGTTAATGATATGTGGTTAACTGCGAGATTTGTGTTTCTTCATTGTAACAGAGAGAAATTTTGCAGTTAACGAAAAATGGTGAAGTGCGAGATTTTTATTCCTCTATATAAACAGAGAGACATTTCGCAGTTAATGAAAAAATGGTTAAGTGCGTGCTGCTTGCAACTTCAAAAATAATGCTCAGGAGACATATTTGTTTGTCTTGGATCTCTGTTTTTGTCATTTACCTGCAATTTCTTTGGTTACTTTACGTTCCATAGCGATTGAGGGCGAGTAATTGGCAAAATTAAACAAAATAACTGGACTGCCGTGACACAGCCCCTTTAAACCAACAGAAATTTCGCAGCGCAAAAATGGTCAACTGCGAGATTTGCGTCAGTATATTGCAGGATATTCTCTGATTGAGTAGCCAATCAGAGCTTGGAAAAACACTATCCACTGTTTTAGTATACATTTATTTCAATTATGGTTATAATGTGCCCGCAACGAGCCTAGAAACGTAGAAAGCAAACGCTGCTGACGCTTCTATGCTATGTCAGCAGAACGTTAAGACAATGTATTTCAAAACACTGAATCCTAGGCTTTTTAATTTAAGACAGTGACTTGAGGTTAGGTTTTTCTCTGTGGTAATATGCAAATGCTGCAAATTTTCAACTAGTTTGCTTGGTTCCGTGCACGTGGGAATTTTGATGGAGTCAAAAAAATATCAAGTAAAATTCAAGGCGTTTGTTGAACAACAATAAGTAACTTAACATTACGTGTTTATCTATTTTTAAGGCAATTTTTTTAAAACTGAATAAAAAAAGAAGAATAGCGTTGATTTGATTTATTGAAATAACCAGCATTCTGGCCCATGCAAAAACGCAGCTTAATCAGGCGGGCCTATTCATTTAATGTTGTTAAAAGAAATAATTTGTAATAAGTAATTTTTTACTATGAGATTTTAAAAATGAAAATTTTCAGCTCGTTCATGCTTAAGAATTTTAGCAGCCACTGGACTTGAAAGCTCTCTTAAACGCCTTTTCACAAATGGTCACCATTATTTCAATGAACGTGAACAAGATTAAACTTCCCGCTACAAAAGGGTTTACCATAGTGCACTAAGGCTTTGAAACATGGTTCACGGGAGCAACCTGAATTGAAACAGGTGTATACTAAATATATACAGTATATGCACAGTATGCAATGAAATACCAGGTGAGCTTTCGCGCGAAAACATTATATCTTCACACGTGAAAATAATGTGAAAAGATCACCGTTGCTATGGCTACATAATAAATCGCGCCTTTTAGCAGGGAAAAAACTGTTTAAGTGAAATGGTTTGGTATTTCATTAGTGTTTATATAATAAACGAATAGAACATTAAATGGCCCTATCTCTAAGCGACCATGTGATATCCTCTATATCTACACTGGCAAGTTAAAAAAAGGAGAAAAGAAAAATCTCGCGCGTGTTCTTTCTTGAGTATTTCTCTTCTCTGTGTAGGTTTTTTTTACTGCAGTTGTTGTTGTTGGAACTGAGCTTTGTAAACGTACTGATATCTGTAAATAGATCTAATTAGTAGGGTTTTCTTATTAAAAGCCGAGGCTTTCGTTGAGTAATCGTGCACGGTGTGGCTGATGGATTTTTTGTTGGTGAATAGACACAAACCTTCCTCCATCTGTTGAGTGTTTATCTTTAAATGAGATGATAAAAATGAATGGCGTTGTAGATGTGAAAAGAAATACAGCGGCCAGTGATGCTCTGAACTTACCTAAAGCGCCCAACAGTATTGGAACCGCCATTCTTTCTCTTTTTTGACTATAATTTTGAGGATTCCTTTTTTGATATGAGGCTTTTTTGACTTGCGATTTTGGGGGTCGTATGTATAGAGGGCTTTATTACAGGAGGTTTACAGTAGTTAGTGTTGTTTTCCTTATGGCCTGACAGCGTTTGATTTTCCTTTGAACAGTTACTGGGCACAAGACATTGTTCAAGGAAACTTTTCAAAAGTCTGTCTTGAAGGTATACTATCCTTTGCTTATGTTAGCTAGTTTGTGTGTGTCTGACCGAAGCAAACCAATGGACAAACACAAGAAACACTTTCATTATTATCACTCAAAATATGTAACAGTTTCCTCACAGTTAGCGTAACTGTCTTATAGATGCCGCGTACAGAGGAGTGAGTATAATTTATTGAAAGTAATGGTACCACTTTTAGAGGTGAACCATTAATAAGGTTGCTTTTGTTCTTTTTCTTATTAAGAGCCTCCAACATGCTCAGTGATAGTTACTCGTGAACAAGTAGGAGGGATTACGAGCCTTAGCTGTCAAGGAGAACGTGGTGTACCACTTCCTACGATAACTAAGTGGACAAAAGATTCTGAACTTGTAACTGGTCGTTCATATTACAACGTCTTGCCAGGGAGAAGTTCTGATCAAGGACAGCTGGAAATAAGTAACTTCGGAATAAGTCACGTTGGGGTTTATCAGTGTTTTGTTGCTAATAAGATGGGCACTTCTTCTTGTGCTATAAATATCAGAGGTAAGTAAAAGGCTGCAATGTGCTACGGTAGAAGAAGTAAGGACTACTCAAATAGTTTGGAACTCATTAGATAACAAAGATCCAAAATAATTATGAATAACGTGATAGGTTACCCCAGGCCAAACTATCATGGTTTGGTCTCCAGAGCATTCTGTCCTTTCACACTATACTCTTTTGTTTTGTGTCCAGTGAAATCCATAATTTTCTTATCAGTTGAAGGATAGTATTTTTGAGAACTGTCTTCTTTGCTGCTTCTAGGAATTTTGCCAGTTATCGCATCTGCCCTCATTAAAGTCAATCAGACATCGTTATTTGTGTGTAATGCGACTGGTCTGCCAACTCCGCGTGTTTCTATCTACAAACTGATTGGAGAAACCAAGTACGTAATAAACGCACATCAAACTCAAATCGGCGCAGACTCGGGTCAGCGATCATACTTTTGTGTAGCAGAGAATGAGTTTGGCTCATCATTTGGTGAGACCGTCCATATAGAGGGTATGTAACTGCTGACAGCTTACACTGCTACTGTCGACAATTTTACCAACGTCTGTTTGCCACACGAGATTTAAAAAAAGCTATCGCTTGTAAATTCCTTTTGTAAAATTCGACAAGTTGATGATCACAAACTTAATTGCAATACATGGTACAGTCCTAATAGAGACCTTTAGATTCGAGGACGAGAACGACTACGAGTACGGGATTTGATTTAAAGTTTTTTCCTGTATTGTCAAAAATAGACACCCCGGAATTCTTCATTGTACCTTTTTTCACCAGAAAATTTAGCACTGTTATCGTTATTGAAGGAGGTTAAGACCTCTCCCGATTGCAAAATGCTAAAACTTTGAGAAAATCTCGTACTCGTAGTCGTTCTCGTCATTAGAATTTAAAGCTCTCTATTGCAAGTTTGTTACAGAGCCTGCCAACATTTGTCTAAATAGCTGATTGGGTGATACTAACTACAAAATAGTTATAAAACAGTGTCATGAATGCCTTTGAAGAAATAGACGTTTCGGGTGTATAACCCCACTTCAGTGTTCAGAAAACCGTTATAACGGTGTAACAAAAACGGTTTTCTGAACACTATAGGAGAGTTATACACCTGAAACGTCTGTATCTTCAAAGACGTTCATTACACTGGTTGATAATTTGTTGCAAATATCATTCTATCAGCTATCGAACCGCAAGTGTCATGCATCCGTAACGGTTTTTCCGTTCACCATTCATTTACTTAAAAAGTTTGTGATAGAAGTCATGTGAGTTACCTAGTCTTGGGTCAGAGTCGGAATGTATAAAGTTGATTATTACTTTATGTACATGGATAAGTAAGTCTATACTTCCATGGTTATTAACCTTCAATTGCGTCTTCGATAGACACTCTCATTTGTGAGAAAAGGAGAACAGGTTCATACGTTTTCAATCGTCGACCGTTTGATCCCAAAACATCCGAAGATAAACCTGATGTACATCAGTCTAGTGATGTCTGGACAGAAATTTTTAACCAGTAATAATTGTTATTTAGGCTTTGATTTTTTGTGGGCCGTGTGGGTGTTTTTTGTTTTTATTTTTCGCAATAACTCTAGTGTTCAATTTTCGACAGATAAACAGGTCAAAGCGGATTTGAGACTAACTAATGAACAATGGAGTTCTTCACTTTCTGATGAAAAGTCGCAAGAATTTATATCCCTGACTGGCAGAATAAAAAATGTGGTGCGTATGTATATATACTTTTAATGTGTTTGTTCAGTTATTGTGCCGTGTACTTATTAGGTATATAACTCATTTTTATGAATACTCATCATATTTGTTTTGTCTCGTTTCAGCAGAATGGTGCCGTTGTTGTTGTCATAATGTTTTATTTTTAAATATGTTTACTAATCATTTCAATGCTAAATCATTTTGTAGGTGAGAGAAATTTATTCCAAAAATCCTGCCTTTATTGGTTTCAAGGATATTTCATTCAGGTGAAATATAATACTAAAGTTACTTGTGTATCATCGTCGCGGTTCAAATTTTCCCTCCTCAACTTCAGGTTATCTTAGTGATCAGCAGTCAGTCCGTAAGAGACTGGTCTGACTTCAAAACATTGGTGTAATACAAGTGAGTTGATAGGCTTTACAACCCCTGCAGAGTGACATTTAGTACGTTTCAGGAATACACAAATGGAAGTAGCGAACAGGAAAGTAAAATGATCATGCCAGCACGCTCAGTCTTACCAAGACCCATGGACACTAAACCTAGAGTTAACTAAAAACTTTAAATTTACAATTTAGACTTAGAGGGTGGATTTCCATTGTCGCGTATTTTTTTTTCCTTTTTTTTTTTTTTTTTTTTTCTTACGTGCGTAAAATTTACATTCGCAAGTAAAAGAGATGAAACCTTAAAAGATCGCGGAAAAGTGAAGTTGAACCTCGGCCACCTTCACGTTTAAGCGCTACACTTCATTCCTTGTCTCTATTTTTATTTATGCGTGCAAATTTACGTGCGTGTACACGCACGTGAAAATTAGGACAGTGGAAATCCACCCCAACCCGAAAGCCACACCTAGAGTTGGTCGCTCTCTTTCTTACTCCCTTTAATCGACCCCCGAAAAGACGGACATCTCTCTGAGAGGGACACATTGTGCCTGTCCTTCAGTTGTCCTTCTTAGAGAAAGTTGACTATAGATATGTTTTACAGGAAAGGAAGTATTATCTGTGCGATGGTCCTAAACTTCGCTGCTGAACCTGCCAGCAAAAACTCTGAATTGCTGGAAGATTTGCAAGAGAGAGTATCTTCTGGTAAAGTGGGACAGTTCAGTGTCGATGCTTCTCATGGTCTTAACGTGGAGCCAGAAGTTGGTGAGATATTATTTACAATCGTTTCTTACATAATTTTCAACTTGTTAGATTTTCACGTGCGTTGTTCCACAGCTATAACCTTAATAAAGAAAACTGTTTTAAAAACTAATCAAGACTACAAAATTCATACGATGCAAACGTGTGTAACTTTTCTTACTTCCCTCAACTGTGTAACCAACTTACCTGTTTATAATATCAACGTCTTTCCATAACGTAAGCGTTCGCCCGTTGTCACGTGCCTGAGTTACTTAAAAATCGTAATGGTTATCAAAATTCTGTGTGTTGATTAACCAAGATAACAGGATAAGAAAAGGTGATGGAATTTTAATTTCTTTCAGCGGCGATGATCTGTTCAGTGCTGCCATTACTTTTCTATCACGCAGCTTCCATACATCTCTTGCGTCCTTTTTCACCATAACATTTCAAAACCTCATTTGAGTTTTCTGCAAAGCTTGGCTCTATTCCATTGCTGATTATACATGTACTGTTAAAAAGATTTTGAACGCACTACAATCCATTGGTAGTACTTCTAAAATTCACATTTGACCAAGCACTGATCATTTTGTTTGCGCATACATTGGTTTCAGAAGTAACAACCATCCAACCGGTTTTTAGTACTGTTCAGGTGACCACTGGTAGTCTGACCCCAACCAGGAAAGGTAATTCCCATTTAAAGTTGCGCATGAGTTATGGAAGTTGCGTGTTTGTTTGTTTGTTTGTTGTTATCATTACATCAAGACACTAGCCGTGAAAAAAGGCAATCAAACCGTTTATTGTTATAAACAGCTCACATTTTCAAGAAAAATTTGATTGATTGAAGATTTTCTCAAGGTTTGTACTGTGTTGGAAACTAGTGAAATTTCCTTCAAAGTGACACTTTCGCGTCAATTATTAAACGATTCAGATTCAGTGCCCTGGCTAGCACTAGTACCTGATTGCCTCCTTTGATTACCCGATGTGTAAATGTTTGTTCCATTTCGCCGTTGAGACGCTATTGGAGTAGAACAGGAGGTTATGGATATGCAAAGCAGACTAGTGACTAGCAACTAACTATAGGAAGTCACTGTAGGTAGCCACTGTTGTACCTGATCACAAGGTCTCCACCTTGTATTTGGGGCACCGTGGTCGAATTCTGGCGTGAGTAGTGAAAAAATGGTGTGCCACAGGTTTATCAGTTTTTAAAACTGTCAAGTGTAACCCTCGTAACCCTTCCTTAATGAATAAAATTAGTTATGAGAAACAGAACTCATGCACCATGATCGATTGAGAGAGCAACTGCATTTCCATTTACTGTCGCTCGCTGACTGATCGTAGGGTTACAAAAAGAAATTGTCAGGTCCAGAGAGTTTGTTAGACGAGTCTGTCTCTTTATAAAAACTATGTTGTGTTTACTGTATTACTTTTTTGCAGACCCAACCCCCGCCCCGGATAAACAAGGTGGGTGTCTCTACTAAATTTTTTGATTTAAACCGACTTTATGGATTCATATTGACGATGCTGGAAAGAAAGTGTGTTTCTAAAGTCTGAAATAGTCGTGCTGCCAGTTACAGCTGTAAACTTAAAAAAAAAAAACAGACGTTTTAGCGGAGCAGAGACGATAAACAAATGTAGTAAAAAGGGTGATTTGCCTACAGAGTTGCCTAAACTTCTAGTCTGTTCCAGGAAAAACAGCGAGGGAGGGGTGGGTTAGGAACTCTCTCTTTCCCTTTCGTTCCTTCGCGCCCCATTCCACTATCTGAACTCCTGAAATAGGCTGTGTACTACTTTATTTTTTCACTTTGAGAACCCTTTTGTAAAGCAAAAAAATTGGCAGAAAATTGCATGCTGCCTGTGAATAGGCCGTCTGATGTAGGGAAAGGGCAGAAAAATAACAAAAATACAGCTGAAGAGGCAGGCAATGGGAAGGCCCAATAAAATAAAAGAACATTTTCCTTCTGTTCACTTGCCTTGCTCGTCTGTCTTTACGTCAACCTGAAAGAGTTTGTCTTTTTAAAGTAGCATTTCCGGAAAAACGGGTTAATTCGTGTCCACTTTCCAACATTCGTTGCCCCTTATTGTGTAGAACAATGTGTGTTTATAGTAAATACTCAGTTGGACAATAACATAGCACAACAGCAGTAAGGTAGGTCCAGTTGTCGTCACGGGACCAGTAACAGAACACATTTTTTTCCAAAATAGAAAACAGAGACAATGGTTTGTTTGCCGTAGCTGTGGTGACCGCCATCTTACTAAGTCTTATTCTTGGATTTGCGCTTGGAGTAAAGTTTCATGGTCAGGTTATGAGTCACTGTAAAGGGTCCTCTGAAGATCCAGAGTCATGTGACGGACCAAGCAACAAAAAAGTTGAGGGGGTTAAGTATATCAGATCACCACCCAGAGATGAAAAAAGTAAAAGTGAACCAAATACCACGAAAAGTCTGCTTAACAAGGAACGAGATGAAACGGGTGAGGCCGAAGGTAGCGATAGTGATAGTTCCACCGCTGGTAAGATTGGAAATGAAGATGACGGAAATAGTACATTTTCAAGATCTCCTGCTAGATCAATATCACCAACTGTGTCCACTACTAGAAATGACAAGAAACCGCCATTAAGAAACGGAAAGATGTCTGTATGCTAGATAAGAACCTCTGCTGCTGTCGTGTTGCCACTTGCCATGGCCTGCTGCTAGTTGCAGTTAGCGATTACCGGCTTAGAAAAAAGCAACGTTATGGTAGAATTGTAAAATCGTGTGGGGAAACTTTGAGTTTATGACGTATGTATGTGGCATGCTTGTGGTGGTTGAAGGAATTGTGACGCCGTTGTTACCTGACTGTCAGCACGCCGTGGTTACGTGACTGTCAGCACCCCTCGCCGTGGTTACGTGACTGTCAGTACTTAACAAGTTCACTTAGAGGGGCACATCAAATGCAAGACCGGCTAAACTATTCTATTATCATCCGCGGCAAACATTTACACTCATCTGCACTAAATCGCAATGAAAAGGGGCTGCATTTGGATTTGCTTTACTAGCTGAAAAGAGCTAATGCGTTAAGCAAAAACAACAACATCAAAGTTTGAAGCCGCATGGCATTGGAGTATTTATTTTGATATGTATATAGACATTTTTAAACGTAATGTTAGTTGCGTAGCGGGAACAAACATTGAAGGTTTCCTGACAGAGCGAAAGCAAGTCTTTTTTTTTTTCATCCAGTCTGCTTTATTCATTTGTGTGTGCGTGCCTGCCGTCTTGGCACGTTAGGTTGTTTACATGACCATTACATAACCACTGCGATTTCCCACGTCGGTATAAGGGGTTGTTCTCACGGCGGTTGGAAGATCCTAGCGCCATATTTTTCCTGTATTCAGTTACTCTTTCTTTTTTATTAGAATATGTTTGATAAGAATATCGAGGCTGAAATTTGCGAAATTTTAAGAATATTTTAAGAATAAACCTGAGGCTGAAATTGTGAGAGGACTATAATTTCGTGTGTTGAAATCTATAAATACAATACAATATGTTTTTACTTATTTAAAATTATTCCTTTGTTTTAAACGGCAAACCTAGCCAACAAACGAAACATCTTCACTACCGATAGCCAAATGTCCAATGACGAGTGGTACATGTAATGTATTTTTGCAGTACAAAATATGTACAATGCAAAAGACATGAACTAAGAATAGAGAATACATGTATTAAGAATATTTTCAGCCTAAAATCAGCAGACAAATAGGAATATCAGCCTGGGCCGGAAAAACAATATTCTTGTAAAAAAGAAAGAGTGTAACATGCAAGGGTTGTACTTAGTCTCCCTAGCACTAGGATCTTCCTAGCTGAGAGGTAGAAGATCCTAGTACTAGAGACAAACCAGATAAAACTGGCGGTGGGTCGTTCAGTGGGTAATCACGGCAAGTGATAATTGTGATAATTCTACTGAAATGTAGAGTAGAAGGGCCCAAATTACATTTTTGTCCCAGTCGCCCGCCATCTTTAATTCCTACTATACTAGGTAACCACACGGTCCGGCACACGGACCGAAATTTCTGCATGTAAGCCCTGAAAAGTTGTTCCTTCAAGAGTCTTGCTGTTGCAAGGACCTTCCTCCCTTCATTTAAACAGCCCCTGAATCACACTCAATATAGTCTGGAACGGATAAGGCATGTATGTTACATCTAGGCCGAGCTACAAATATCCTAAAACAATTAGCCTCTGTCCGGAATTTCCCCTAAGATGTTATAAAAACCTCCGGTTTTACCTCTAAAAATCGGGTAGATTGCCTCTTGCGCGGGAGAAACGGGTAGGCTACCGGTTAGAATGGTTTCGCCATTATCACATCTAGGAAATGATGGTTGCCTTTTATAAAACTACGAGATAAACATGTTCGCTTACCCGTACTCCTACAATCATCGTCAAAAGTGTTAGGAAGGTTGCCTTTTTTACCTCTTCTTTTCCTTCCTCCCCCCGCCCCTGGCCCAATGTTGATCAAAACGTTAATGTTTGTGCACGTAATTGTTCTTTTATATCCCAACATTGAACAGGGGGGACGGGGGATATTTAGCAAAAGAGAAAACTCTCTTTTTTGAGGATTAAAATGGACTACTGTTAAGTTGTACAGCCTTCCCAACTACTTTTGTCTGTGATTGTAGGTTCAAACGGTGTATCTCAAGGTCACTACGGATAAAAACCCGGATTTTTCTGGCTTCTTTTTTTTTTTTTTCGGTCTCTTTTGAAACTGATCATTTTCAGTTGGTCATTGTTTAAAAAAAAGAACGTTCCCTCGAAATAACGTTTCTTGTTCGGTTCGTGTTTGACTATTTGCAAGACTGAATAGTTGAGTTGTACATAGTTAATTCCAAAACTTAGATTTCTAATTTCTGGTGAATTAACCTCACACTGTGGCTATAAATCATAGAGTATTTTTTAATTATAAATGGGTTCACAACGTAAAGATACTGTCCATTAAAAAATGATTCAGTAGATTGTTAGGTTCTGTATGTGCTAATAACGTGGTTTGTCATGGGCCCGGTTTGGTCAGACAAAGTAGCAGCTGGTTTCATTACTTCTGAAGGGCCTCCCGATCTGTAGTCGGTACAACCTATTTTCTACTTAATATGAGATGGTTTTTTACATTTAAGGTCGATACTCGAAAGGAAAAGGGGACGTGGTGTCCCCAGACAAATGCAAGCTTTTAGTTTTTGACGCTTTAATTTGGTTTAAAAAAATCATCGGACAACAATCACTGGAATAAATGGTCTCACAGATCATGCATTTTCTCATATTCCGACTCCCATGCCTCCCCGCATGCTTACGCACCTTAAAGGGGCTATGTCACAAGGATATTGCTGTTTTAGGTTAATTCTGTACTGAACTCATTACTTAGTTAATAAACCAATACACAAAATGCTGCTGTTAGAGTCATGAAGAAGATAACAAATAACTTTCGTCAGACAGCACTAATCATAATTTTTATGGCCATTTTTGCAGGCATAGCATCTGCCATCAAAACTTGAAAACGTTGGCTAAATTTAAAACTTTTTCAAGTTTCGGTCCTAGTTCATCCTTGTCTCAGTTGCCAGCCGTTGCAAAGGATGACAGGAAACAGTTTCAATGCCTATAAATGTAGTCTTAAATAACAAAAGATTAGCAAAAGATGAGCCTTATGCAGCTCTTGCATCAAGGAAACCAGTCAGTCGTGTAGCAACACGACCTAATGAAAGCAAATAAAATATTTTACTCGGATTATTCTCTTCTTATCAGCCGATTGTGACTTGATTTTTGTATCAAATTTTGCTCTTATGTATTTTGAACGAACCGTCGCTACCTACGTTTTAAAATTGTTGCCGCGTTGAAAGGATTTTAGTGGAACTTAACGAAATTGTTGCCAATCAAATTGCTACACAGCCTCCCACGCAGGCGTTTTTAGGCGATGTCGTGTTTCGTCCCTCCCCTACCGTATACAGTATGTCCCAATCCACAACAAAAACCGTGTCATTTCATGACAATGTTTGAAAATATGCACATCTTCAATGCAGACATGCTTGGAGCCAAATTGCAACATAGGACATAAGTGGTTACAGCCCGGAGAGTAAGGTTTATCTCAGCTCCACTGATCCTTGTAACATCCATGGTGATCCCAGAATTGAGGGGTATCACTACTGTATATGCCAGCACTCACAGGGTACAGCATTTGAAACACTCTTGGCACTGAAATACAACTCATTCATTTTAACGGTGGCAGTTATTGGTGTTGGTATCTACAGCATTGAGGCTGGGGCTTATAATGTATTTCGATTCTCATGCTAGAGATATGTATCATAACAGTCATAGTGAAGGGAGATGTGTATTGTTGAAATACCATCCATGCATAAATTAGTACAATGTTTTTAGACTCTACATAGGAATTAGGGTATATATGAACTTAAAGGTGTACATATTGCCAACTTTGAACCTCATCTTTCCTCAAGCAATGTTGAAAATTGTAGTATATCAGATGTTAGAGTTATCAATGTTCCTGTAAACAGCGCTGCCCTGTAGCAGTTTATGCAATGTGTTACTCTCTCTCCTTGTGGATACTGGACTTAAGGAACTTTACTTGCCCTTGTTAGTAACCAGAATACACTGTACAATGTGATGGGTGTGAAAACACATCTGTCAGTCAATCTTCCTCAAAGTGTCATGAAAGGCACAAAAAGGTACCTTTTTTGCAGTTGGAAGCGATGTTCGCAAAAGCGCGAAAAAGGTACCTTTTCGGCAGTTGGAAGTGATGTTGTTAAAAGTGCGAAAAAGGTACATTTTTAAAAATATAAAATAGTGCTTTCAAGCTTTTGGGAAGCCATTCAAAATCCTACTGATTGACATATGTCAACCGTTGGCACCTCTTGAGCTTCAATGAAGGATGCACAGACTTTTTTTAGGGGATTCTATGTGATCCAGTTAAAATTGAAATGGTATACAAGGGGTACCAGCGGAGTAAACAATTTAAGCTCGCTTCTTTTAGCCAAGATCAAAAGCGAGAAACTAGATTAAGAAGAAATCCGAAATTATCGTTGGCCACCAGCCAAATGGATTAAATGGCTCCTGAAAATGTAACAACTTCTGGTACTTTAAAACTAGATGAAAGAAGAGAAGCTCAGCAAGCACAATTTTAAGCGTGAAGCAAATACTTTAACCCGAAAGAAGTTCTACATGTAAAGCAACAGGAGTTCATTTTCCTTTTCCTTTACGTCTAAACTGAGAGGGTCCCGAGCGGGTCATTTTAATAACTGTCTTGTTTCGTGGGTGATGTTTTTCACTGCAGAAAGGTTATTAGAGACTTCAGTCTTGGGGTTATTTTTCTTTGCTATGATATAAATTATATAAATAATTTAACTTCAGGTGCTTTTTGAGCTACAGGCCGAAGTAAAGCCATTAACAGTAAAAATGTCACCATACATGTATACCTTTGACACCCCCTAACTAAATACTTAAGTAAGCCTGAACAACTTTCCTCTTCTTAGACTTTTGTACAGTATGCCAGCATTTTTTTCGAGAACTTTGGTAGACTTTCCCGGAAAATTTCTTTTTTCAGAGAAAGTGAAATTAGAAATTTTCAAATAGAAAATAAACTCTTAAAAGTCAAAATAAAAAAAATTCAAATGCCACTGTTTGGACAATTGTCTTTTGGTGTATTAAATCCATTAGCATACATTCTTGTTGGTTTCTCACTTATACGTATCATCGCATCATCGCGTATTTTAGTGAATTTTTTTAGGGTAAGCATGTTATTCGAAAAAAGGAGAATTAAGGTAAAGCATTTTAGCGAGGAAACAAAAAAGCCTTTTCAATGCACAAGAGACTGGCCCGGCTTCTCTTCAGGTTACTTTTAACTGACACCTGTCATTCATTGATAACCACTGAACCAGTGACAACATGATGCTTCCAGCTTCACTCCAACGCTGATCAAGATGGCTCACACCCTGCGGTTTTAGTTCGTGCCCCTTATCTAAAATTTTGACGCTGGACTGTGACATGTACAATGTCACAGTTTTGACTCGATCGAGTCGTTAACCAGTTATTTGTCCCTAATAAGTAGAGAACTGATCACCTAAGTAAATTCAGACAAAAAAATTCATAAAAATGACACCAAACGGTTGACATCTGTCAATCAGTAAGATTCTAAATGGCTTCCCATGGCTTGAAAACATTCAGTAAAGGTACCTTTTTCGCGCTTTTGAGAACATCGCTTTCAACTGCAAAAAAGGTACCTTTTTGTGCCTTTCATGAGATCGCTTGAAACCGAAAAAAGGTACCTCGTTTGCGCTTTAAAACATCGTTTGGTAAAGTGAGAAATGGATGAAGAGCGGACAATATTGACGTCAAAATATCACTCACCCGAAAGCTGAAAATACCTGACTTCTTTTTCAAAAAAAGGTACCTTTTCATAACTTTTAACTTAAACGACTAGCATAGACAAAAAAGGTAACAATTTTGCATTTTGTTCTACCAAAAATGAATGCAGAAACTTAGTTTTTCTGCTGTCTTTAACTAGCAGAGTTGACCTTTTTGTAAAAAAGTAGAATTGCCGGAATCTTTCACTGATTGGATAGATTTTAAAACTGCGACCTGACACTGTACATGTTACAGTGTCAAGCTCAGCAATTGGTTTCAAACTTGGCGAATAAACAAGGAATATTTATCTCTTGAATAGTGGATTAGTAAATTCAGACAAAAAATTCATAAAAATGACACCAAACAGTTGACATCTGTCAATCAGTAGGATTCTGAATGGTTTCCCATGGCTTGAAAACACTATTAAAGGTACCTTTTTCGCGCTTTTGAGAACATCACTTCCAACTGCCAAAAAGGTACCTTTTTGGGCCTTTCATGAGATCGCTTGAAAGCGACAAAAAGGTACCTCTTTCGCGCTTTAAATCATCGTTTGGTAAAGTGAGAAATGGATGAAAAGTGGACAATATTGACGTCAAAATATTTTCACTTGAAAGCTTAAAATACCAGCCTTTTTTTTCTAAAAAGATACCTTTTTTTAAACTTTTCACCTAATCGACTAGCACTGACAAAAAAGGTAACAATTTTGCATTTTGTTCTATGAAAAATGAATGCAGAAAGTTAATTTTTCTGCTCTTTTCAAGTAGCAGAGTTGATCTTTTTGTAAAAAAGTAGAATTGCCGGGACCTTTCACTGATTAAGTTGGCCTACTATTAAACGTTTTTGCCGAAGAGACCATTCAAATAGGGCTAGAGAAAGCAAAATGCCCGAAAGACAAAAATGCAGTGTACCAGTGTCCAGAACATAGCGAACTCACTAGACCTGATAGACGTGTGGCGAACGGATGTCTGTAAGACGCGGACCGGATACCTGCGGATGGCGGATGCGGATGGGAAAATGCGGATAGAAAAATGCGGATGGAAAAAAAATGCGGATAACAAAAAAGTAAGAAGAAAAAAAAGAGAAATGCGGATGGTAAAAAATAATAATAATAATAAACAAACAAAAAAAGGAAAGAAATCTTTCTTTCAAATAGCTGTCACATGGTTGGACCCTTCACTTACATAAAGAACGTGATGCCAATAGTTGACACAGTTATTTTGTACCCTGTAATTCCTTTTATTAATGTCACAGAAATAAAATGCACACACACTAGGTGCACTTCTCTTTTGACTGTTAGCTTAAGGCTTGCAGGCAAGGTAAACAGCTCAAAAAATTGGATAACAAAGGAGGTGTCTACAAAACGAGGACTGGATACCTGAGGATGGCGAATGAGGATGGGAAAATGAGGATAGAAAAAATTTTGAACAATAACAAAAACACAAAAAAACAAAAATATGGATATATAAATTGTGTCACTAAAACATTTCTTAACAAAAAACGTGTATAACGTTGTTCGGACAACAACAACAACAAAAAAAGGACTAAATTTTCTCAGATTAAAAGAAAATTAGAGAAAACAAACTAAACCAGAAAATAGGGTGAACTACGCGAAAAAAATCGGCGTTTTT